TTTTATAACACACAACAAATATGAAGTTTATACTTTTATTTGTCCTTAGAATAGACTAGAATATTGTCCAAGTAATAAATAACAAATTTATTTAGATATTTTCAAAGAATATCATTTATAAAATATTAAAAAGCAACTTATTTATTTGTGAGTCCAAAAGGCATGTGTCATGGATATATATCTACTATAATTATCATCTAGATAATATGAATAGACAAAATTAGATAAAAGTATATTAATTTTATAATACCTTCTAAAGAAGCTTCATAGAAGCTTTTTAGATATTATTTTGACTTTATATGTATTTGTAGTTGATTATTAGGTTAGAAATTTAGCGAGCAAGCTAATCACGTGCCACATGTATTGGCAGCTTGTAGAATAAGCTAACTATGTGGCACCCATATAGAAAACTTGCCTTACAAGCTAAGATACATATCATACAAAGTCAATACGTTTTTTGAGATCTTATAGAACATCACTACATAGATCCTAGGTAGATAGTATATATAGAGGCAAGAATGAAGCCTTCTTCACTCTTGTCAAATCTTTTGTTTTTAGTCTAAATTCAAGAGTCTCTACTTTCTTTGTCTTTTGACAATAGCCATTCCAATTTTTTTTTAATATACATACTTTTGTAATTTCTATTTTTTCATATTTCCTTAAGAGAGCCTCATTTGATTATTTTCTTTCATTGAGTTTTTATCCTTGACAACATGATATTATACTCAAAATGATCATATTTGGTCTGAAATATAGTCTTTTATTCATCTCATTCTTTAATGTGTACTAAGTTGTATACTTGTAAGAGATCTATTTTTATATAAATCTATGCTTCATTCAATTGATTAAAAAGTTTTAATATTAAAGATAGATGATACCTATTTTTATAATAATCTTGTTGAATCCTTGATAATCTATATACATCCACAATAAATTATTTTTTTTCTTCACAAATAAGATTGGAGCTTTTATTAGATATTTTGAATGGCATATGAAATTCTTGGCAAGTTTTTCTTCAATATATTCCTTGAATTTAATCAATTTATTTTGTGATAAATTATAGATTGATCCAAATGGTAGTTGAGCTCTCTCTTAAAAGTCAATTGATCAATCATAGAGACAAAGCTTTGAAAAAATATCTCTATTTTTTTAAAAAAAATATATCTTAATAATCTTGATATTAGCTTAAAATACTACTTAAAATCTTTTTACTATTAGAAATAAGTGTGGCATAAATAACCTAAGGTGATCCTACTTTTGCCACATGCAAGAAAGTTCTTGCACCTACAAATAAGGATTTGGTTACATTACACTTATAACTTTCTACTTGATTTATAAAACTCTTAGTTATACTTTAAAAAAAATTAAGACTATAAGAAATCCAATCTATCCAATGATTATATTTTTATAGCAAAGATTAATCTAAAATAATTGGATTAGAGGGAGATCTAATGATATTAATATTACAAAGCTATTGTGACCATTAGTTGCTACTTCTATAGGAAGAATTCTATGAATAATATCTTAAAAAGATAACCGACGACCATCTATGACTTCTACATGTATTAGTTTAGTTTTTTTTATTAAAGATATATTATATCTTTTAACAATTTTTTTATCTAAAAAATAAGATGAGACTTTCAAATCTACCAAGGCAAATGTTTTATGATATTTAAGTCTTAAACTAACATCTATTGTAAAATAAAGAGATGGTTTGGAGTAAAAAATAACACCTTTACTAGGTCTTACATAAGATTTTAATTAAACAAATTCTATTATAGCTAAAAAAAATCATTTTCTAATATGTTATCTTCTTTGATGGCTATACTCTTCATTTTGTAGTTGTATCAATTCTTTGAACAATGTTATGTAATGTATTTAGATTTGCCACAATATTAGCATAATCTTTCTTGGTGTCAATGAATCTTTTCTTGCTCAAAAGAGATTTAAAATGTACTATGTCAATTTGCATATCTTTCACTTTTAAATATATATATTGAGAAGCCATGGATGTTACTATTAAATTATAAAAACGTTGAGGTCCACTTATACAACTCTTAGATTGAAATTCAAAAAGCCAATTATTATACTTCAGAACAAAATCAATTGCTTGACTTGATATTTGAAGATCATGTCAATTTAGCATCAAATTCTTTAACTTATATTATAATCTGTAAAAATATGGCAAATGAGTGCAACATTATTTTACTTGAAATCAATCTCAAGTTATTAAAATTATGAAGCATACAACATTATTAATTAATTATTTTATTATAAAATATGGATCTTGTTGATTATAACATGAATTGAATCATATTTTTTATACATAAATAAAAAAAATTATTAAAAAAACCTTTCAAATTATCCAAAATTAGATCATATTATTCAAAAAAAAATTATGATAATATAGAACCTAATAGAAGTATAACAATGAACTTGACTTGTGATCTTGGCATTGAATAGCTTTAAGATTCAAGTTTGATCACAAATTGTATTTTATTGATAAATCCTCAAAACTTTAATCTTCTACTCTCAAACTTTTTATACAAGAAAATTTTTGGTTCTTTAATACTTAAAGGATATTCAACCATAAGAGAAGTAACATGATTTGGTGTAGATATTGAAGCAATTCCAGTCATTTTTATATCTTCACTTCTTACCAATCTTATTGTTTCTTGTCGTAGTAAATTGAGTTGATGCATCACAAGTATTAACTTCCTCAATTAATCTTACATTTGTGCCATTGCTCTCTTCATTTCAATAAACTCTACCATGATAATATAATAGAAAAGAAGATGTCTAATATCAATCAAGATAAATAGAAGAAAAGACTTAAAAATAAAAATAAAATACTAAAAATAATATCAATTTAGAAGTGGATAATCTACAACTTCTAATGTGCTTGTATCTTATCAATATAAAGAGGTAATCCATTTTTAATCAAAAAGAGCCAAAGCTTTGATATTATAAGTATATTTTTATCAATTTGTCAAAGATATGAATTTAAATAATACAAATAAATAAGTAATATTTTTTTCAAAGAAAAATAATAAAATATATATATATATTAAAAAAGAAGCTATAATGGCTATTATTAAAAGATAAGAAAACTAGAGATCCTTGAAATTAGATTCAAAGCAAAAAATAAATTGATAAGAATGAAGAAAACTTTATTCTTCCTTCTATATATACTATCTAACTAAGAGCTACATGGCAATGTTCTATAGAACCTTCAATACATGTCCAACTTACATGACATGTGTTTAACTTGCAAGAGAAGTTTTCTATATATACACTAAATGGTTAGCTTGTACCACAAGCTATTAACATATGTGATATGTGGCTAACTTATTGGATGAGTTTCTAACCTATTAATTAACTAAAAACATATAAAAAATTAAAGCTGCATCTATGAAGCTTTTGTGTACAATATTATTAATTTTATTTACTTTAATTTATTTCTATCTACTCATATTATTTAGATAATTATAAGTGTAAGTATATATATATATATATATATATATATATATGTTTGTGACACTAAAATCCTAAGATTAATGAAGTATATCTTTATATATATATATATATATATATATATATATATACAATTATTTTATTATATTCTATTTCATTTCATCATTTATTTTCTTTACACCAAAAATTAATTTTTTAAGATATAAAAAATATTTCCTGAAGAATATAAATTTTTTATAAAAATAAAAAAATATTTACTTAGAAATTTTAATTTAAAAGGAATTTCAAATTATATATCTTCTTTTGTACAAAATCTCTTGTTTTTTTTTTAATGAAGATTGATTTTTTTAGATTTTGTAATAAATAATTCCTATATATATATATATATATATGGCATTTACATTAAAAGTCCACAATCAATGTGGAATTTTTATATTTAAAAAAATGGATTATCATATTTAAATATATCAATATAGTATTTTTGTTCTATAAATAACAAAAAATACTCTTAAAGCAAAAAAAATTGCTGTCATCAATTTTTCAAAGTTTAACTGCAAAAGAAATAAATACATCTAACATTATTTATCCATATTTGTCAAACAAATCAATCAGTACTTTGGTTTATTATTGAACAATTATACATGGATGACTTTCCACCATTATGAAAGTTGAAAATTTGAGTGAATTGCATTTGCATCCCATTCAAGCAACAGTAAAGCTCTTTATTTTCGTTATCTATTTTCCCAACCATCAAGAACCAAAAATAATAACAATAAACGGAATCTCACTCTGGTTTGTTTGTGTCTCCATGTACAGACATCCCATTGAATGCAGGATGCCATGTAAGACCAAATCCAACATCGTCCACCCACAAAAACAAAAGCAGAAAATGGGACAAGATCTTAATCAACTTTGGATTACTTCCAACACCAGTTGTGTTTTTGCTCCAAAGCCCTAGTTTTGTCTTGACGCAGTTTTCCCCCGTTGTAGCGTAACGTGCCGGGACGCTGAGTACAAAACCCGCTACAGTACAAGCGAATATCAACACATGAGTCCAATTATAGCACCTCACAACGTCAGAGTTATCGTCAGCAGACTTGTGGGTAGACTTGTGGGTCGAAACCCAATGCAGACAGTTTTTATTTTATTCTATAAATAGTGAGCTATGGAGTTCACTATGGCGAAGTAGAAAGACTTCTGTAGGCTCTTCTCGCAACTTTGTAAAACCATGATTCTGGAGATTTGTTTACGCCGGGTGATTGTTACTATACTCATTCTCATTTAGGGTAGCGTCAATTCGTGAATGCATGGGCTGCTCATGGCCTAGATCACGGCATCTTTGTTACCAGCTTAATCTACTGTGTGTGAAATGTCTGAGTATTTAGAGAAATTAATCGGCGTTTTGGCAAGTTGACTGATTGTTGACTAGTTTCAACAGGACGCGTCAAGACCCCATTTGATATTGTTGCCAGCGTTGACACCAGAGCCCTACTCCAGCTAAGGTGGTATGGGGATTGCAGATTTTTGAAGGATGTCATGCTCAATGCACCTTTCTTAATAATTTGTACCTTTGTTTATTCTTAGTAAAGTCATCATTTTTGGTTTGTTTGAAGTTGTCGACATGATCGTTTAGCAACGCGATTCACAGCACGACTGCAACTGTAGAGAAGGCTGAACTTTCAGTTATCTTCGAGTCGCACCGCTGGATATTAGGTGTATGACCTCAATAGAAGTCATTTTGGACTAGGTTTTGGGTTGCAAATTCTGGTTAAACTATTGTCGTAGTTGTGGAGGATTGGACGCAGCAGTGTGGAGTCCTATCCGGTTTTTGAAGCCTTGGTGATCTTGTGAGTGGCCATTGCCGTTTGTGCTTGGTTTTGGTTGTGTTGAGTAGATTGTTTTGTAAGAGAGCTTCCCTCCAATTTTGAGGGTTGTGTTTGAGGCTAGGTGAAAGTGGCAGTGGGTACTGCTTCATACTTCACACAGCGGGCTTTGTGCGGAGGTTGATATAAGTTTTGTGTGACTCGCTGCTTAAGGTTGGTAGATGTGGCTTGGTTTTTTCTGGATAGCCTCGACTTTTATTTTCAGTGGTTATGGGAATTCCATGATTTCATTTCCGCCGAGTAGTTGCGGACATTGTGGATTAAGATACTAGATGTTCGCCTCCCAATGTTAAGATTTCGAGTTAGAGCCGTTGCGATTCCGAAGTTCACACGCCTGCTAGTAATTTCCAGCTGTTGAACGGTAGCTTTGCTTAGTGTGCATTAGAAATTCTTCGTCAATACCATGCTAGTGGGAACATTGTAGCAGGTTCTGTGGTTTGAAGTGCGAGGTGCGGATTCCATTCACGAGATTGACATCTGTTGCCTTCTGCTAGGTGCACGGATCGCCATGGCATTGCTGGAGAAGGGTTCCCCGCGGACATGGATGCATCGCCACGCTTCCTTGCCTCTACTGATCTCCGTGCTGGCCATTTTTGCTGTCGAAATTCATCCAGTGAGGGCTCAGCAACAATATAACAATGTATCCGGCTACGCGTGCACAGGTGTGCAGCCACGCTGCTTAGCCTATGCTTATTACAGGACGCAGGAAGCTAATGCTACTTTGAACTCCACCGCCGCGCTCTTCAACACATCTGCTGCAAATATTGTCGCTGCAAATACCAATTTGAGCAGTGTTCCAGCGACCACTCCTTTAGCAAATGGGTCTGCGCTGTACATCCCGCTGGACTGCAGCTGCTTGAATAACACATACCAAGCGCCCACAACAAAGGTGGTTCAGGCAGGCGACACGATGTATAACATCTCCATAATTACTTTCCAGGCGCTCGTTACCTATCAAGCAATCGGAGCCGCCAACCCCAGCATCATCCCGGAGACCATGCCAGTAAATACGATTCTGAGAATCCCCATACGGTGCGCTTGCCCTACCGTTCGTCAACAAACAGATGGCATCAAGTCCTTGCTCACCTACCCCATCTTCCCGAATGAAGAACTATCTGCCATTGCCAAAAAGTTTGGCCATACTGAGGAGGAGCTGCAGGTTGCAAACACGCTGCCGAACTCTACCATTGCTGCCTACACGACGTTGCTTGTTCCACAGGGGACCTCAACTCCCGGTGGTAATGCTGGGGGACCTGGCTCAGCTCCAGCTCCATCTGCAGCTTCAAGAGCTTCCCAAGCCCACTGGCTGTACTCAGTCTCCTTGCTGGGAGTGCAATCTTTGTTGCTGTTGTTGTTGTTCTACCATGCTAAGTAAGAGAGAGTGCAGAGGTGAGATTGTGTGAAGTAGATAGCCCTCCATCACCATCCTACCAATTCCCTCCTCCTCCATCTGTCTTCTAACCTTCTCTTTTTCCCCTCATTGTGTCCTTTTGTGTGACCTTTCAGGGTTCCTAGCTACCGCAACTCTTTCCAGCTTTGCATCTTTTTTGTGCTAAAACCAGCGCTCTTGTAGGTGTTTTGTGATCAATAGAAACATGCGCTTAGTGTGTGTGTGTATGTGTGTAAACATGGGTCATGTTTGCAAAGTTCCCTATGAGGAAAGGAAATGGAGGTGGGATTTTCTCTCTTGTAACATTGATCATTGAAACTCTTATGTGCATGTTTCTGTCTGGGTGACTACCGAGATTTTGTTTTCAAGCACCAGACTGGAGCTCATGTGCTAGCAACCCTCACTTGTGTAACTTATTTGCTGGTAATTTTTTACTTGTGTTGCGGTTTTGTGATGACTTCCGCATTTGTCTTCTTTGCAATTGTAAATTTGGCTCTTGCCTTGGCTAGACTTCAATATGTTTGTTATTTTGTTATTTAATTATAAAATAAAAGAAAGTAAATTGTTTGTGCGGAAGTTTTTCTATTTTTTCATTTTCTTGGGTTTAGATCTCAAAGGCTACTGTAGAAACAAAAAACATCTCAAAACTCAATCTGAACAACACATTTTTGAGTAGGAGTTCCTATGATTTCTAGTGCGGCCGCGACTTCAAGTCACGTGAATTCCAAGCTTCGGATCCTGGTAACAGGTCTGTCGTCCAGCTTCAATTCTACAGCCTGAATTTTTGTAGTGTGGTTATGGTACCCACTACCGCAGGCTGGCTCTCGAAGTAGTTTGTTCATCTGTGAGACGCCATAAGAATGGACGAGTGTGCATGGAGTACGAGAGACGCCATTCATTTCCCCAAATCCAGATGATCTGCATCCCCTTGCGGAGGTGAATTGCTGGATAAGTCGCAATGGTGGCCTCTGTTTGCGCCCCTTGTGGCCTGCGGTACTTGGAGTTCGCTGCGAAGTGCTGGCTCCAGGTAGAAGTTGCAGTGGACGGCAGTCACTCCTTTGCAGGATAGTTTGATTTCATGACATCGCGTTGAGGGGATCCAGGTGTTTGCTTTGACTTCCCTACCACATTCAGATTCACAAAGCTGGTCATCAAACTGAAGTTCAACTGATACAGCGGCAGTATGTTGATTCTTGTGTATAATAATTGTAGTCACTGATTGTATGATCGATGTCTTGCTTTTTGGGGATTGATCACCGACTAGCCAAGCCGCCCGGTCAAACGAGGAAACTTGAATCCCACATGGGCAACCTGGTCAACAGGCATGATGTAGTCGCCCATTAACATCACCCCTGACATTGTAGTTACCAGTGACGTAGATATGATTTATTGCGTCTCCGCCATCCCTGCCAACACGTCGAAGAATTGTTTTCTTGTCAAGTTTGATATAGTTCATTATAAGTGGGAGATTAGTCGAAGCGGACGAAATCAACTGATTCTACCCGGGAGACAATGCTTATTATATTAGTTTTTCTTCGATGTTTTTATTTATTTATTTATTGATACTGCTGACTTTAAGAGTGACAATGAAGCCGACCCTCAGCGGGGTATCGTATGAGAAGAAACAGCTGCATTTCTACGACCCAAGCAAGCACACGTTTCCACATGGCACTGCATGAAACGACACATTTACAAAACTACACGTAAGATTACATATCCCCCATACAGCAGGTTATCTACCACGGCAAAGTTTGACTCATTCCTGCCCCCTGACTGAACATAGAATCAATCTCTAAAATCACCACCCATCTCCACCACTGTAAGGGATTTGAATAAGTTGATTGCTACACACCGACAAGTTCCTCTTCAACATGGACCACGCAGTTTTGGGTTGAAGGATGACCTTGTGTTCATATCTGCAAGTCATAAGATGGGCTTCCTTTCCACGACCAGGTATTGAATATGTTAGTCATTAACTGAACTCTGAATCAACCAGTAGCCTGTTGTGACTAATCAGTGTACTGATGATCCAAGCCTTGCTGTTGTACAGACAGGGTCATTTGAAATCCACCTTATGGTTGCACAGATTATCAACAACCTACCAGCTTAACAAAAACAAGTGCCCGCTTGCATACGTCAACCACCGTTTCCTGCCATATGGGTGTGTTTATCCCTGCCACCTCGAATGCGTGCCAGATTTCCTATAATAAACCATAGAAGACTGGCTCTGCTTACCAGTCACTTCACCATAGAAATCTAACGTCTAATCTTGAGATGAATCGACCTGCAGGAGCTCAAAGCACGGCCCATGCAGTTAACTCACGGGAGGGAGATTGTGCACACCTGCAGGAAGGTGAAACTCCGACGACAAGAAACCAGTCGGCTTCTGGGTTTGATGGCTTTGTGACCTCCAACAGAGATTACGAAGAAGGAGGTCGACAGATGGAGCATGATTCAGTAAAGAATTCAGTGTTGTGCACAAAAAGTTATTTGCCAGTGTCAGTGATAAGGAGATTTTGTGACGACAATTCCAAACCTCTTCTCAACATAGTACCACTTTTGATTGGTTGGGTAATTGACCATGTCATTGGTTTTCCACCAAGTGTGAAGAGGTAATGTCACGTTGATCTCTAAAAAATATTCAGCAAATCCCTAATCAGCATTAATATACTTCTTCGTGCTAGACCATCATGTCCATATATAATACTGTGTTTGTAATTACATTCGGAGTAACTTAGGATGTGGCTTGTTGCCTTCAAATGTGTTTTGATGAATCAGTTCAACATGAATGTTTCAGATTATATGTTGGTTTTGGTGATTATACGATACAAAAGCTCTTGTTCTAGTTTTTAATAGTAAGTTTAGTCTATTTGAGAGTATTCTATGCTAGAAAGGTGTTTGATACCTTGAACTATAGAACATGTGTTGGTAGAAAATGGTTTACTTCTTTTTAATAAATAAAAATGGTCAAATTTATCTTTCTATATTGAACTTTCAAATATTTTTGTACTTCATTTAATATTTTTAATTTGAAAAATATTAAGTATTATTATTTTTATTTCTTTGAATTCATTGTATAAAAATAAAAATATTAATACATTGAGAAGGTATATTCATTCATATTAACAAGAGACAATCATAGTTGCAATTAAAAGATGTTTTGTTATTTTCTACATAGTCTATTTATTGTTGAATTCTTGTAAATCTTCATGATAGTTCATAAAATGTGGTAAGATCACTACTTTGAAAGGAATTTGTTTGAAAAGATTACTATTGAAGTTTGAATAAACTTGATTTTGTTTAATAGTTATATTTAAGGTTGATTTTCTATTGATAGTAATTGTTGTATATTTAAGGTCATCTTTGTTAGATATTGGTGATCCTTGACATCTCTTGTTTCTTTTAAATGAAGTTTAGAACACATAGTATATAAATCATATTGTGAAAAGGATCAAAAAATGAATTTAAAAACATAAGAACAGTTAGGCCATCTAGGTGAATGGATGGAGATGGATTTTAGAAATCTCCATTCATATTGACTAAAAGTCATTCCCAATGGACTTCAAGGAGGTTGTTAAAGATGTATTTAGGAAATTAGGTATTTCTCATATAAAAGATTTTTCAATACTAGAAGTGAAAGTGAACAAGTTTAGGTTTCTGGATATAGTTTTGGTGCAAAAAGTGAATGATTTGAAGTTTTTATAAAGAAAATATTGGTGCTCAAAAAATTTGGGGCATAACCCATATATACAAAGAACTAAGAAAATTGGCAATTGGGATTGGAAATACTACGTTATAGGCTACAAAATAAATATAAGTTTCAATGGTTTTGTTTATAATTGTATTTTAAGCACTTTGACAAAGATTTGGCTCTAATGTTTTATAAATGCATGTTATAAAGTTATAAAACTACACAAAAAAATTGGTGGCACTTAAACTTTCAGTTCTTGATATAGAAAACAAACTATATTCAAATATATATAAACTAGAATTTAAAGCATTTTTTAGGATTTTTGAGATATTAAACAGTCAGGAGTGAATCTAAAGTTGATTGTTTCTGTATTAAAGTTTAAGGATATAGACTACATCTCTTAAAATTTTCAAAGAAATCCAACATCTAAATCAAGAGATATTGGATCTAAGTTTAAAAAGAAAAAATCCTTTGTGAATGAATAAGGTTTTGCTGCAATTTGATCAATTGTGGAATCTAAGGGAGTTTTTGGATGCCAAGACTTTATGGAGGTATAAAAGTTGGATATTAAGATTGTTAAAGAATTAAGGTTGAAAAAAAACACACAAACACACACACCATGTCCCAGCGTAAGAAGCTCATGTGTCAGACGCACACAATCCTTTCCTTGCGAACAGCACGATAAAACACTGGAACTGTCACCTGCACTGCGTCAAAACCACTGTCCAGGCCCGATATCGAAACCGGCCTCCTCCACTCTCACTTGGCTCACCCTGAAGAACACGGTGCACCTCGCATCACTCACCACCAGAGCAGAATTGCCCAAATGAGCACACACACATGCGACGAAGCCCGCCGCATGCTGGCGACGCAGCAGCAGCGAGGCGAACCAGACCCCCCGAGAGCATAGTCGGCTTGGGGAATGTGGTTCGGGTTGGGGTGCGAGGGGAAAGGGAAAATGCAGTGGGGGTGTGAGCATGCTGCAGAGGGCGCGATTGAGCAGAGTTGGGGGCGGGGGATGAGGGGTCCAGACGCGAGGAGGTTTAGGAGTGGGCACACCTGCTCAAGATGGGAGGGAGGCCCAGGCAAGGGCTTTGCGCCGGTTGGCGGGCGTCCAGGAGAATGGCTGGCCGCTGCTCTGCAGGCCCGACGCCAGTACGAGCAGCTCCAGGTACGCGGCAGCGTGCTCGGTGACTTCGTGGAGGGTCGGACATGGATGCACCCAGTTGTCCATGTTCGATTCGATGTAGTTCCAAGGCAGCGAGTGCGAGCGGCAAAGGAAAAGGTATGATATGGTATGGCAGGAGATGAAGGGACTCGGGACTCATAAGAGCGCTTTGGGGAGGAGGAAGGAGCGTCGGGTGAGCGGGGATTGCGAAGTGCTCATCGTCTGTGGCAAGCGCAATGGCGACCCCTGCTGCCCGTCATCGCTCCAGCGGAGGCGCGGCGGACTCCGGAGGGAAAGGGGGAGGTGGTGTGAATGGAATGGCAGGCCAGAACGGAGATGTTAGTATAAATGGGGGTTTGCGAACCTTTCAGACATGAGGGGCGGTGGCGCAGTTGGCTAGCGCGTAGGTCTCATAGCCAAGAGAAATCCTGAGGTCGAGAGTTCGAGCCTCTCTCGCCCCACCTGTAAGGGGGTGTAGCTCAAATGGAAGAGCGCTCGCTTTGCATGCGAGAGGTACCGGGATCGATACCCGGCGTCTCCAGGGCTGTGATGCGTGGGCGGCAGGCATCAGCTGCTCCATGACCGTCACCCGCGGTTGTCGATATGGCCGAGTTGGTCTAAGGCGCC